ACACAATAGTATATGCTAAAAGGTCTCATAGAACATGCTTGGAGATGGGACTTGGTGACTCTTCCTCTTAGAGAACTGAGGTGCAGCCTGGCAGGAAGGTAGGTGAGACAGAGAGGAAGATGTTGAGAGAGAAGTTAGGGCACAAATATACCAAAGTATACTATAGCCATCAAAAAAAAAAGAAAAAAAAAGAAAAAAAGGACATTACAGACAGATTCCAGGTGGAATTTAGGAACTGAAAGATGCCTTTGAACAGTACAGAACAGCTTACAGCCTACAATTCTGTTATGAAGAAAATGCCTGTTCTTTACAAAATGACCGTGTCCTACCTGGGTTTAATACATGACTTAATGGTCTGAAACAGAAGGAATCATTATATAGTAACTATGGTTAATTGATAAAGACAATTTTAGAGGCTTACGGTAAGAGAAGCACTGATGTGTTCAAGCCTTCCTTCTGTAAACTAATTTTGATGTTTGCTTGGACACACTGAATTTTTCATTACAATTACAGCAGGGAGAGTACGAGGTCCATCCAGAAAGACTGGAAAAACTGGTGTTTTACTGGCAGTCTGAATATTCAACATAAAGCTGAACTATTAATTATGAGTAGCAGCAGTTCTAGGAGAGTTAATTTTATTTATAGTGCTTACATGAGCTACATAAAAAGGCCAGTGCCTTTGTTTTTGTGCTAGTAGTGACAATTGTCATGTTCTATTCTCTTTGTCCTCTTCTAGGAGTTTATGTTACCTTCAATATGCCTATTGTTGTCCACAGAGGATACATATTTCAGACAAAATCATCCTGACTTGCTCAGCCTCATAATGAGATGCCTCTCATTTTAGGTGGCTTTCTGTCCATTATGTCTTGATATAATTGTAAAACTGTTCTTAAATGTCCTTCTTCTAAACTGTGAAAGAGCTAAAACATACCCAGCTGTCCTGGGGATGGATTTTTAGTTTTGATTTGTAAAATTTAATAACTGGAGTTGATTATTGTGCATAACTAAATTTTCCCAAATTTTCTTATTTTGGGAAGTTTGAACAAAAGGCAGTGCATTAATGCCAGCATTTTAGTGGGATTAAAAAACCCCAAAAAACCAAATGTGTGAATTTAGTTTTTCAAAATCTATTCAAATTGTGCATGTGAAAATATACAAACCAAAAGACTATTTGAACTGGTATTGTTTCGTGCAAATCATCAGACATTTTAGTGAAAGAGATATTAGGAAAAAAGCTCCTTTGTATCAGTCAGTTGTATCACATCTTAGTCTGGATCAGCAATTCTGGGACGTAGTTTTTGCTGTAACACATTGGGAAGCTTTGGTGAATCTGAGTAAATGGACTAAACATATGTCTCCTAATGTAGGTGTAGCTAGAAGCAATGTGAATATACCTCCAAAGGATTTAGATAGCTCAGCAATGCAGCTCAGTGAGAAGAACAAGTGTGGCAGGATGAGTGGGATTTGGGTTTGTTTTGCCTTATTGAAGAGCACAGCAACCTAATGTGTTCTTGGCCACTTGTTTTGCTTCCTGTGCTACTTCCCTAGTTGTGCCAGTCTGCTTCTGTTATTGAGGGAAGAATAAAGTCTAGGAAATTATTTCAGTTTAAAATGACCCCTTTTTTCCCCCTAATGCTGCTGAACGAAGTGTTTGTCAAACCACAGCCTAAAGAATTTCTATTGGCCTGGTAGGAAAGACAAGAGTTAGCATGTCTGTGCAGCCTAGCAAACCAGTGAAGAGGAAGGTGGCAGTAAGCATTGCCATGGGAGGGCAAATTCTTTTAAGCACACTTTCTGCTGGAAAAATGGACTTGAATGTGGCAGTGGGCTGCTGGTGATGAGCAGTGGGGCTGCTGCTTGGGTATTCTCCTGGCAGACATTGAGAGAGAACTTGTGTTTGTTCATTATAAATAAACCTGATTAGAAGCAATGAAATACCTGCCTCTTATCATCCATTCCTCCCCACGGAGGGAACAGCCTGGCAGTCCCCCAAACACCAACTAACCATTCCTGAGGGACACTTCACCATTGGTGGGTGTTTGATAATCACCCAGAAGCCCAGGCTTTGGGAATGGAGCCATAAGAGTATTCTAGGCTTGCCACTTCATTTGAAAATAAAATACATGTATTTGATGGAGCATTGTGATGGGATCTGCTATTTTCCCTGGCCTCAAGAGTCTCACAGACTTTTGGCAGGGGATGTCCTGGCAGATAAGATGAGAATGAAAACACTACTGAACATGTTGGCTTAGATTTCTACTGAAGTTCTGCAGGGAAAGACTATTATTTACCAAACCCATGCTGTGAGGGCAACATAAACATCTCGACAGTCTCCTGGTTTAAATGACACTGAGGGAAGGCCCTGAGTATTGCCATCCTGCTGGCTTGCAAATTCCAGATAGCATAGAAGAAGAAAGTTAACTCATTTTTGTGCGCTGTGGCAAACCCTAAATAACAATGCAAAAATATTTAGTATTTTAAAAGCAACTGTGTGTTCCTAATCCTTTTTCTAACATAATTCCTGTTTTGCAATCAGCATTTTGTGTTATGTATCTAGTCTATTAAATAGGTGTTGCTTTATGAATTGCCAACAAATCTCATGCTCTTAACTCCACTGCTCATGCATTCTCAATTGTGATTTCTGCTCAGTGCTCATACGTAAAGAGCAAGTCACTGAAGTATTTAGTTTCTTAACTTCAGAATTGCAAACATAGTTCAGGATAAAATAAAAAAGCTTTTTGCCCTAGTATTGGTGACCATTAGGTCACCCATATAAAAATGCAGTGGCGATAATAGAGTGTCCTGGTTTTAGCCAGGATGGGGTTAATTTTCTCAGTAGCTAGTGTAGTGCAGTGTTTTGAATTCAGAAGTGATAATACATTGTTGTTTTGGTTTTGCTGGATTGTGTTTATCATAACCAAGGACATTTTCTTGCCTGTGTCTCATGCCCCCTCCCAATTTTCTGTGTATCTTCTCCCTGGCAGAGCATGAGACACAGGCAAGAAACCTGTGGTTTAACCTCAGCTGCTGGCTGAGGTTAAACCACGACATAGAGGAAGGCTCAGCTGCTGATACCTGGTTTATTTCTCACAAGCATTGCAAAAAAAATTAAAAATCTCACCCCTGCAATGCATGATGCAGCAAGGATGACCAGACTGCAAACTAACAGAGACAAAAAAAGAACCAGATATACTATTTTCAGGACTGAAATTTTCCATCAGCCTCCAGAAATTGATTCATTCATGCAAAAAAAATTGTTGTGTGTCAGACCAAAAGATGCAGCACAGTCTGATAAATGAACAATTGTGCTTAATAACAAAATGGCTTTTCAGCTGACAGCTGTTTCACCAGACAATTTAGTCAGAGGCCAGATGGCCAAAGAGACACATGGTCGAAAGTAATTTCATAGGATGACTCCACAGAAGGAAAAACTCATAATTCGCATATGTTTGAAATGTCAGAGATCCAATTAATGGAATTAGTATGTGATGCCTAGAGCAGTTTGCTGTTGAAAGCTGTGCTCAAGCTTGTTCTCACAGCTCCACTGCAAGGTGAAGCAGTGGACTCCTGTCTTAGAGCTCTGACTCATGCATGGCTAATTGCCTCTCCATCTCCCCTCCTGACAACTAGTTTTGTCTATGATATGAGTCTGTGCCACTTACTGCTCTGCACCAGGTCATTTTTCTCCTCCCTGTGGAATGGTAGGAAGAGATAAGACCTAAAACAAGTAGACGTGGACTTCTGGGAGATGCAGGAGAGGTGAGGTTTACTCTTGTCTTATGGGAAGTTGCCTGTAGACTTTGATGGGAGAATGACACTAGCTTTTATATCTAGCAGAAAAGGGAGTTTGCAAAGACTGAAGTACTTTTCAAAATAAACTACAATGTAGTATTTTCAAGTTTCAGTTCCATTTTTTCTATCAAAAACTAAATGACGTAGCACTATTAGCTACCACCACTGTAAGTTAAACTGTCTTTGGAAAACTCCAACACCATCTTCTGACTGCTCAGGGAAATGCAGTGACCAGTTTGCATTTAGACTTCAATCATAGAATCATAGAATTACTTGGGTCAGAAGGGATCGTAAAGACCATTTAATTCCACAAAACTTTAAATATTTTCAATATCAAGGCTTTGAATGTTTGGTTGAAGCTTTGTTGATTTTAGTCATTGTCTTTGTTGGCTGCTACTGATGTTGCTCTATACTGACAAAGCACCTTTTCTTACAGACTTCTGAGAAAGAATACAGGACTTTGCTTCCCTTTTAGTACCCTTAATACTGCTTGAATTCTTGTGCTGATTCATGGCAGAAGGTTTGCTCTTTGGATTTGAGACCCAGTGTTGAAATCAGATGTTTAGTGCCTTGTCACCATAAATGACAACTGAGGGTTTTTTTATGCAATAAGATGAGAAAATTCTTTTAAGCTGCCCAATATCATGTTGTACAATGCATGAGTATCCACACAGCTAGAGCAGAAAGCAAATTGCTCATTTATTTGACTGTCCATAGTCAAAACAGTACGAAATATATTTTTCCTGAATTTCTTTCCTCAACTTCAGGTGAAAAAATGTTCAAGGCCATGAATAGAGCAACCTGTCCATCCATATGTCATCAGTCATGCTCACATGTAACTCTTTCATTTCCTAGAACTGAAACATAGTTAAGAGGAGTTGCTCTCAGTCATGCAAGGAGCTGTGTGTGGAGAGAAGACAATGGAGATCTGCAGGTGACAAAAAAAATCTACTGACACACTGCACTCATTCACTGTTTTTCCGTGTTTTCCAGTGTTTCACAGAGCAGTGAACTATAGGAAAAAGGCCAAATGATGTCAAGTGTGAGGATAAAGGTGACAAAAGTAGGTAGACTGCTTTCACTGTAGTACTGTGCTGCACCTTGCATCACTTTTGCTATCACAGAAATGTGGTGAAATAGAAGGAAGCCACAGCCAGTTGCAAATTGCTCCTCAGTATTAATTGTCCAATTTCATGTATCCCTACTAGGTCTTCCAGAGGATGGGAAATTGGCCCAAACAGGTGTAACCACAGCATCAGCCACAGCTGGAATGCTGAATCCTGAGAAGAGAAACAACTGTGGTTCTCAGTGTGTTAACCCCATGCTGCATGGCATGGGAGCTACGACACAGAGACAGAATGGCTTCAGGACCACAGAGGTAAGAGCAAAATTATGCTTCCTGATGCTTAGCACAAGCTGCAACCAGGTCAAGCATATTTTTGCAATAATCTTCCTTGCTGCAGTGAGGCTGTATTTAATGCTGTGAGATAAGAGAAAATGGTGCTGGGCTGCACCCCTGCCACGGCATGGTTGAGCCGAGCACCTCTGGCAATTCCTCATGCCTCAGTGGCCACAGAATTGATGCTTTATTCATCAATCAGAGTAACACACGCACTTGTTACAGTAAAAAAGCCCACACTCATTTTTATCCAACTCATTCCATCTGTGGTATGTATTGCGCAAACTGTTTAGATTAACTGTCTGAAAGGGAGCATGTTTTTCCTTAATTGCTGTTCTGCTTAAACTATGTGCACTGCATGAACCCTGATTCGTTCAAAGCTGGAGGTGAAGCCTGAAAAACTCAATGGGAGTCTTCTCAATAACTTCAGTAGGCTTTGGATCACATCCTTCCCCCTCTCCATCTCACTTATATGTATTATACATTGTAGAAGGATCTTCCAGGGTAACAATAATGTATGAACACCCAAGATTTTGAGACTAGACCAAAGACCAACCTTCTCCTGTCACAGCTGCCTTCCTGCCTGTCTCTCACAGGTCTCCACTTTCTGCCCTGTTTGTGTAGCAGCTGCTGCAAATCCAAAATCTATGGTTGGTTTACTGCCTCCTTGGTTTCTCATATGAGAAGGTGTTAAGTAAACTTTAGGAAAAGGAGACTCCCTTGCTTTCTGGGTTGTGTGCAGATGTAGCAGATAGAATCCTTTACATGGTCAGTGGCATTTCTCAGATAGAATCTCAACTTCTACTTCATGAAGTGCTTGCCACCCTGTTGTCACTGCTTCCCCCACTTTTTCAGGGGAGTCTCCTCCAATTAAAATATCATATAATTTCACATCTGGAGGGAGTGAGATTGCCTGTAAAAGTTCAGCAGTCACACAAAGTGCAATTGTGGATGAATGTGTGTAGCCCCGTGGGACTCTGTTGAAGGTACGTTGTACTCCTTTCTGAGTGAGCACAAATTGAGCCTTAATTTCAAAGCAGTATATTCCATATTTGTATTGTTTGAAGGAGAGAGGACTCTTTGATTTCCTTTTCTGTGCAAGATAAGTGAGCCCCCAATACTGCACAAATAATTGCTTTGTCTTTCCAGAATCTTTGGGCCCACTTCTTTCCTGTCTGGAAAGGAGCACGCTTACACTTCTGTAACTGTTTATCCATGGCAATCCTGTGGACTATGCCCATTTTTCTGTCACATAAAAATTGAGGAAAGGGAGACCTCCCCTTACTTTCTGGGTTATCAGCAGATGTAGTGGGCCTGAGGGCAGCTAGTCCTTCCCTTTCTTAGTCAGTGTATTATTTGCCTGTCCAAGTCCCTGGGAGCCCTTCACAGATAATATTTTAGAGTAACCAGTTCATCACTTTGGTGATGGTGAAGTCTGGTAAGGTGCCAGAGGCACAGTGTGGTGACACTGTAAGCTTGGTCACAATCTCAATGCCAGATGCACAAATGGCATGAGTTGCACTGTAAGTCTGGGTGCATTCAGTAAGCCTCCAGATTCACAAATAGTGTGATTCACTGACTGCAGAATAAGGCTCACAATTTGCTGTTGATAACTGCACTGATACCAGAAAGCATAAGCATAATATTACCATGGAATAAAGCTTAATCAACCAGTGTCCCTGTGGGGGAAGAGAGGGGTACAGCCTGTTGCCCCTCCCAGGATACAAAGGTCGAGTCTCCTCTGACCGCTCTCCCTACTTCAGTCATATTTATGTTGTTTTCTTAAAGGGTGGGGAAAAGATAAATTTTCAGTTGATGTCATTTCATGATTAGGTGGAGTTTGAGTGACTTTAATCATACATGTAAAGCAGGTACAGGTTTTACTTCATTAGCACATGCAGAGACATTAAAAGTAATATGTATTTTCAAGTTAATGATGCAAAATTCAGATTTCAGTCACCGTTTGGGTCATTCCTTTGGCTTAGTTCCAGTTAGTTGCATTGTTTTAAACAGAGCATGACCACAACATCTCCATGGCACTCCGTCCTTTGTTGCATGCCTCTCTCAGAGCAGCACACCAAGCTCTCTCAGTGTCCCTGCTCCTCAGGCATGCAGGCAGTTTTTACTTGTGAACTACTGCCAATGGGGCACTCCTCCTTGCTGAGCCTTGTCTTTCAGCATTTTTCCACAGCATGTGCCTCAACACAACGTGTGGTGGAACTGCTACACCCACCCCATAAGAAGCAGTCCCCTCTTGGGAATCACATCCCTGAGAGAGGCAAATTTAAACCCAAGGGGGCTGAGCAAGTGAGAAAGGGATTTTAAATTGAACTTCACCTTGCATTTGCTAACAAACAACACATCCCTTTATTTTATACCCTTGTTGCATTATCTTCTGTACTGCTGTAGTACAGGTATATTCCCCAGAGACATGGATCCTGCTATATTTTTTCACAACATATGGTGTTGGAGAATGGCTAAGACAGCGAGGACATAATCCTGGGGAAGGCCGGGAAGAGCTGGGACACAGGCCCCTGGGAACGCACGGACACAGTCCTGGGAACACACCTGGGAATGCAGTGTGTACAAGCAAGGCTCTGGAGATAGTAACTTACATATAGATAGGGAGTAACTCAGCTGGGCAGATGGCAGGGGTAAGTCGTCCTTGAGGGTGAAACAAACAAGTTTGAGAAAAACAGCTAGGAATGCACCCAAGCCTGGGAAAGCAAGAGGTAATCCTCACAGCTGCAGCTGCAAGTAGGGGAGTACCTAATGCTATCTCTAGAGCTTAGCCAATTATAAATGATTGATAGTTGTATGCCTGTCCTGTATTGTATAAAAAAGAGTCTGTCGGACAATAAAGTTGGAGCTTGCTGTATCACCCACACAGAGTCGGCCACTTGCTTCCCCGTGCGGAACCTTCACCTTTCCCAACAATATGGCACCTCCAGAAGTACAAGGACACATTCCACAGCAGCATGACATGTAGAGCCATGGGTTTGCTGTAAATGAGTAATGTGGATTCCCGTCATAGCCACTAGCCTGCAGAGAAAAATTAACTGGTCATGTCGGATATGGTTGAACAGAACTAACATAATTATTAATTCAATTTGAAAAGGACTTGGCCACGTTTGAGAATTACAGTGTATACCTGGCATAGTGTTGGAGAAAATTGTTTGCCTATCTCTATATGCTATAGAATATAGTGCAAGGCAGCACATGGTGCTCTTTGGAGACTTGAGTTGTGCCATTGGCCTGTGAGCTAGTAGGGGGTAAATTGCATTAATTGCTGTTTTTCACTTTCTCCTGCATCAAACTCTATAGCAGGCTAGTGCCTTACCCCTACCATCAGTTATGTGACAGGGTACAATTTGGAGTGTCAAGAAGGAAAGGGTTGAATTTGGACTGCATCTTGGAAACTTTAGTATCCTTTCGTAACAGTAATGTCAAAAAAACTAGGAACTATAAGATGATGATGAAAGGAGTTCTAATACCAGTGAAGACAACAGAATGGTCAGGCACCTCAGAAGCAAAGGTGGTATCCAGATTATGTCCCCAGCTGACAATAACCTGGTTCGATTTTCATGATGTGTAGTCTTTGGAGAGTCCTTGCGTGAACGGTAGCACTGAGGGAGTAGATGGCAAAGGAGCATGTGTACTCAGCCTGCAGAAATGTGAAGTAATACACAACAGCAAATAAACTCTAGGTGCTGCTCTCAGATATATATATATATATATGTACTTTCCACTCATGTCTGTGGAAGTTTATCAGACATTATTCTACCCGGCACTGTTACCATGTAAATGATGCCCAATTTGCCTGGCATTCTTACAAATAGTCTCATGGAACACTGGAAATGCAATAATCAAACGCACCTAACTCAGCTCTGTGTCTCTATCAGCCTGGTTCTGAGTGTTCTTTGCTAGACCTATCCAGTTTACTGTGCCGTATAGCATGTTGTTTATGGTAACAAGCAGACAGACTAGGAGCTGGAGAAGGATAAATTTAAATTAGGGTTGCACTTGCATGCCTCAGACAGAATGACTCTTTTGAATATCGGAACTAATATGATGAAGCTCGGAAAGTTTTATATTGTGTTTGGGTCACATAAAGGCAGAACTAAGTGTTACTTTAAAACTATGTTTTCACTTAACAAACATAAAACAAAGTAGAAAAAATTCTATCTCAAGCCAGTGATGTACAACTCCCAGTGCCATCAAAAGGAACTTCTAATTTTCACTTCTGGACTGAAACCATATTTGTCTGCTCTGCTTTTAGAATACACACATGCAGAGACAATTGTAGCCAAAAGGGTTGATCCAGAGTCTATTGATGTCAACAGCCTTTACAACAGTTATTAAAGCTTGTGTCCATGATGAATGAGAAAGCTTGTGTGCATCACAGTACTATGAGAAGGATGCCAGAGGCATTCTGTTTATTTAGTAGAATTGTTTTCTTAAGTTAGGAGGCAATGGTCAATGACTCTTTGTGCTGTCAGTGTGAAACTCACTCTACATTTTAAAACTTTCACAGAATAAATGGGACGCACAGAAAATGTCCACAAAAGAAGTCACACTTAATGTTCCAAAAAGCATCAGACAAAGTGGCAGAAGGAAAACAAAGAATTGTGTCAATTAAAGAAGAAAATTGCAAGTGAGGATGGACCTAACAATGCTTCAGTGCACTTTAAATGTCATCAGTCGCTGAAGATATGAAGCTCTCCAGATGTTCCAGGTTGAATACAGCAGGCAGCTGCTGCTGAGTGCCTTCAGAAGCAGGTCTTGTGGAAACCAGCTGCAGACACCATAGGGTCTTCAGATGCCATTTGTCTAAAGCAGTGGCACTTACACAGACATACACCAAAATGTGTGATATTTGTTTTTTACTAACTTCTGTGTTATCCATTGTGTATGTCCTGTTCTGCACTGTTGTTAAGATAAGGCTGGATGATGCGGGGCACAGTTTATCCTAATTAAAACCAGGAAATGAACAAATGAATCTGCATTTTTAGCCATAAAGGGTTTTGAGTGTGTACAGTCAAACCCACATTGCTCATTTAAAGCACTCACTTCCATAAAACTCCAACCCAGACACCTCAGAAAGGTGGCTTCCACTAAATGTCTTTTAAACTATATATATTGGTTATATATAATAAGTCATTCGGTAACCTTTTTATATATTCCAGAATAAAACTTAAAAAATAAAGTTATTAAACCTTAAATTACTGAGTTTGAGTTTATTTTTCATACTGACATAATTTTGGTTTTAAAAACAGTAACTTTCATACTGATCAGCCTTACTTGAAGCTCCTAGTCTTAGCTGGCAGGTAGAGTTATGGCTACTTAGTTATTTCATACATGCTCCTTTAATTATGCTTAGGCATAGACTGACTTGGGAAAAAAGCTATAATTAACATTACATGAAAATAATAATAATTTTTAAATGACAGCTCAAAAATTAACTTTATTTGATAAGATATAATTACTTTGCTGAGCAGAACTTATTTAATTGCATTGTAAGCATCCTGTGTCACAGTACTCCGAGATTATCATAAATATGCATCTAAAAGGAATATAAATGTTCAGTGTAGTAAATAAAGTCCAGGAATTAATTCAATATTTTGCTTCTTAATATAGAAGTAATAATATTTATTATCTTTGAGTTTGCATGTTTATGAAGATAAACAAGTTAAATGTATTTGCCTCCCCCATCAGACATATGAGTATCCTTAGCAGGCCATTTAGATTAACTATTCAAAAGTTGTTCATGGCAAACAGATGGCATTGGGAAGAAAATCCATGCGTGAACAAGTAGCATGTCTCTTTTACAACCAGGCAAACAGTTATAAATAGAACTGTGGGACTGAACCCTAATTTATTCCTATTATTTTAATAGCTTCCTGCTAGGTTTGTGAGTACTTAATACTTTCCCCGGAGTATGAAGTCTGTGCAATAGGAATTGTTTATTAATTATTCCGACAAAAAGGCAAACTGAAATCCAGAGTTAGTGTGAGACTTTTGCATACCATAGCATATATATAAGAAATATTTTAGATGTCCTAAAATGGAGCAAAGAACTTTCTCTAAGCTTTTTGCAGTTCGGTGTGTTACCTGGCAAATGATCCTGTGCTGCACATTTACACAGAAGAGCTAAAAACCATAGAAAATAGTGTTGTAGGGGCATGACGATGGCAGTCTGCATATGTCCTTCCAGCCTGTGGCTTTCTGCCAGCTTGCTGGCATCATTACAGGACAGGAAGGCACTTGACTCACTCTAACAATAAACAGTGGCTGTAGCAGCTCAGCAATACTAACCTAGAAAGGGATAACCATTGTTGGTGGCTATGTCCAGGCCTATTTGAAAGCACGAGTTCAGGATTCTGCATTACTTGTGTAGGGCAGAAGATGAATCATGCCAGATCCGTGCCAGAATTGTAACCTGCTTCTGTTTCAAAGGATTTACTGGCAGAGAGACTGCAGTATAATCCTGAATGATACAGGAAAGCTACAGAATGTGTTAAAGGGTAGAGGAGGTTTTGGAGGAAGGCAAAAGGGAAGGTTCTTTTTGTAAGAAGCTGTTCCAGAGATTGTTGCATTGGTGGATACCACATTAGAGTAGTAGATGCACAAACAAAGGAGTCCTGGCAGTGAGATTATTTACTAGGTAAGAAGTGATTTTGTGATAATGTGCTGACCAGATGTGTCTCATGGTTTGGGTCACACAGCAGGAGCAAGCCCATAATGCTGCACAGCACATCAGTGTGAAACAGCCCTAGCTCATGTCAGCAGTCATCAGGGATGCAGTGGTTGAGTGTTGCATTCAGAGTGTGAGATGTGACAGGATGGTTAGCAGGACACAGTCTTGGTACATAATTATCTGGGCAATACTACAGACCTTGCTTATGCTAACCACGTCCCCCATCAGGGGCAGCTGTGGAGTGGTGAAGTCTGGCTGCCCTCAACAACCTCTCCTGTCTGCTCATGGTAACTTTCCTGAGCTACTCCAAGATCCCATAAACCTGCTTATATCCCAAAACTTAACTTGAGGACATTCAAAGACTGGGCCCAACTTCTGTGCTATGAACTGGGTACAAAATGTTTAGTTACAAACAATTTTATATGCTCTTCTCATGTGACACATTACATTAGGTGGTAACAGAAAAGAAATTACATTATGTCTTAGGTGGCTTCTTAGATCTTGATGTGCAAGCTTCCAGTGATATTAATAAAACTAAAGGCATGTTGTGGAGATGTAGACTCTGCCTCTGTACACAGATAGGGTTATGTTTATGTTTACTTTCTTTCTACTAGGGATAGCCAACAGTAGAAACAACCAATTTGTTTATAAAATAATATACCACTCTGCATAAATAAGAGTGACAGAATCTAGTCTATACCACTCAATACAATTTAAAGTCCTCAAATTGCATTCCTATGCTGTTTACAGTGGAAGAAGCAAGCGCAAAGAATCATCTGGACATCTTCACTCCAGGTTGCCTTCCTAGGAGTGAAGAGACTTATTTTACAGGGTCTGTTTTTTGAGCAGCAACTTTCAAATATAAATGGCTCAAATATATAAAATTAATAAGCATGGTAAAAGACATGGACTTTTAGATAAAGGACCTGTGGACATCTCTGCTTACATGACACAATTTTTTAAATGCAATTTTCCCCCAAAAGATATTATGCCACATAATTTGTTCAGTGTCCCCTGGCTGCGCATGAGGATTTGTACAGGTAGACTGAAACACCACATCTCTGCTGGAATGATTTGCTGTCAGCTGGTGAGTTTGTATGATTTACCTGAGTTCAGGTTTTAAACAGAAAGGAACTTTGTCCTGTTTCCGTAATTCCAATGCAATGCATGCATAGGATTTTCCTCTGATGTTTATATACATGTAAAATGCATCTTCTTCCACTATGTGAGAAATGGAATTACTCAAAAGAATGTGGGCATTGGCTAAAGACAGGACTTACTGTTACCAATAATCATCATTAGGCAAATTCATCTTCTCAAAGACTAAGTGCAATTTTATCTTTAGGTATTCCTTCATCTTCTCCCTTATGCTTCCTTAATGCATGTCATTATTTCACCATTACTGTAGGACACTGACTGGAAGCCACACAATTTTACTGTGTGACTGAAATTATTTTGTACTGAAAAAATAGGAAACCATAATTATTGTGTAAGCAATATATGAGCACTGGGTTAAACATGCATTCCTATTAGTTAAATGACTGAGATCACATCAAATATAGAAAACAGATGTTTTCAACCTTCCCAGTATGTTCATATACATATATATTCAAACATGCATGTCTCTGCATGTGTACATTGTAATGTCTTTAGTGTGTACTTCTGCAGTTCAGGCATGTTCTTTTGAGAACATTTAATTTCTGTTTTTAATTCTGATGCCCAAGTGTAAAATATTTTAGTGTTTGAACTGAAATATGTTTTACATGCCTTATGAAAAGAATGGGCTATATATATAATTTGTGCACAGAAATGATATTTGAAAAAGCAGGCTTGGTTTTATTTGCAAATAATGAATAACATATCTAAATTCAAACTAGACTAACGGGAACATTTTTGTACTCTCATTTTAGCTGCAAATTATTGAAGACTGACTTTGAATTTGAAAATTACAATAAAATTTTTGAAGCGTCAGTTTATTACTCCATGCATTTCACTTTGTTGTGTTTGTGGTTGATTTATCTTTAAGAGCTGAGATGAAAGACTGCAAAGGTATAATGAACAGTTCCCACCTCCTCTCTTCATGGAGTCAGAATATTTCTATATCTGTCCTCGGGTTGTGGCTCCTGGTCTGTGTGGTCATATAACAGAAGCTAAAATACATGAGAAATTGGTGTCTTTTCAAGAAAGGGGCTTATGACACCCAAATGCAGTTGTACCTCTGTAATTATAAATGGGAGAGTTTGTGGTTCCTGTCATGACTAAAGTGAAAGACATTGGGAGTTTGAGCCATTTTCTCTAGTAAGACGTCAAGAAGCAACTATGAGGCAACTAGAACACATAGCAATTAAAATGCTCTTACTCCTGCCTGAACTGGAAAGCACAGGGAGGAAAAGTAGCTGCAGTGTTGCTTAACCTGTGCCATAGAAATAAATGCATAATTTTTACAGATTGAAGTTTTCATTTTTTTCCAAAATTGCACTATATTTTAAAAATATTTTTCCTTACTGCCAAAAAGGCACTTGCTGAAATATCATTCCCATCCTACTTGCCTATCCCCTGGGTGTTGCTTGACAAGTAGCTTGTTCTCTTTGATTCCTGGCCAGGATGCTGACACAGCAGCTGTTTTGTTTCCTGAGGAAAAGGAAGAATAGTATCAAAGGAACAGCTTTCAGATGTGCCAAAAAGAAAAAGGATCTGGGGACATGAGGAAGCTGCAGTCCAGCAGTGAGGTGTGTAAGAGCCCATGGGGACCCTGCAAACAGGATGCTTCAAACTCCAAGGTCAGACTGTGCCTTGCAAGCAGAGCCCTTATTGCTGCAAGTAGTGACTGGAGGAAGTGGGATCTTCTTGCAAGCAAAGCCCCCAAAGCTTAGGTTTAATGGACTCTTTCTCTTGTGCCTCTGGGGAATATGTGCTGAAGTGGCACTTTTA